CTGTTAGGACGGATACCATCTCTAGAATCTAGAGTTTCTCTTCTCTCTTTCTCGCTCTCGTCTGGCTGCGTTCTCTCAAAATTCCACGGCTGCAGCTCGAACGTTTGGTTTTTCTTAAGTTCGGTTCGTTTGACACTTGATAGCGCTCGAGCATGCATACATAGCCGGCCGCATAGCACGACGCGTTCCGAGTTCGCGCGGGATAGCCTGCTGCTGCAGCACTCGCGAGCCATCTTCTTTCGTTTCTTCTGCCTTCCCTTCTTTCTTCGCTTCCGCTTCTCTAGTTTCTTCGGCCTCTCCGCGAGAAGTCGTTTCTTGCCGTTGCTTCTTCGTTCGATACCATCTTCCCGTTTGATAAATCACTACCGGAAATTCCGACAAAAAACCACGTTGCTTGTTCGTGCTCCAGATACTCGATTGACGGCCCAGCAGCCTGCATCCGCTTGTTTCCTCGAGAAAACCACGAAAACAGACCACGCTCGTCCGATTTTTCTTCGTCTTCGATATTCTTTCGAATAACATCGATGCTCTTACCGGATGAAATTTGCCTCGGTGGGAAGATACAGCGGATCGGAAATATTAACTCGCCGATTCAAACATATACAATCAGTCACGAAAATCCACTAAAAATAGATGTACAGCGTATACATTGAAGATATCTTTATGTAAATCTTTATGTACGTATCGCAGATTTTCTTCGGCGAGGTCAGTGGGGCGTTTTCTTTTTAGTCTCCTTCCTATCGGAGTTTTGCTCGCTTCAGCAGCCAGCTGGTTTGGGTGTGTCGTCGTTCTTTGCTTGTATTTTTCTGCCTACCTGCCGATTTCTTCTTTGACCGTTGGTATTTTCAATTCTTTGCGTATATCCTCGTTTCTGACATACCATAGGGCGTTGACTATTCTTCTCAGTATCTTCGATTGTCGCGACACTGGTTTATTTACGCGACTCATTGCCGCTGTCTCCCAAAATTCTATTCCGTACGTCGAAATTGGTTTTATCATCGTTTTCTAGATTTTTAGTTTATTTTCTATGCTGAGTTTAGAGTTTCGACTAGTTAGCCAGTACATCTGTCTCCTTTTTATCCGTATTTTGCCTATAATTGTTTTAATATATCGTTTTTGCGTAAGTTGCGTGTCTAGGTGGAGTCCTAGGTATTTAACTCGACCTGTTCGCGTTATGCCACATTTGGTGATTATGTCACAGATGATCGACGAATTTAGGTCGATCTGGTGACACCCTAGGGATTTATCTAATCTAAATCAATCGTTTTCAGTCCTCGTTTTCTCCACATTCTTCCAACGACCGTACCAGATATCGTTGTGTGATCATTGCAGTTTCCATGAACATGGCAATATCGATTGAAAAGATCGAGCAATTCTTTCCTTTATAGTCGTCCATCTTTTCCTCTCCTCTTGTAGTCGTTTTCTCCTCGATGAATCATAAATTTCGAGGCGCGCGCCGTGAAGCGCGTGCTGCGACGTGCAATGCTCGCGAGACAGAGGCTCCTTTGTGCGTACAATTTATTTATCCGTCAACAATTACACCCTGAGACGGTGAATGAAGAAGGCACGCGATCTCCGTGATTCGATCGTTTCCAAGATCTGAGAGGAACGCGCGTTTCCTGTCCCATCCTCGTTGTGTCTCTCCTGCGATGTATTTCAGCGACTTCCAAACAAAATCAGCTTTCACAATGATCTCAGAATCAAATCTATCTGTCAAATCATTGTGAAAACCAGTTTCGTCTTATACAGTAGTTTTAGGTGCGTTGAACGATGATTGCCGTCGTCGACTACCTGTTTGCAAGGAAACAGAATCGACAATTTTAACGAACGACGATTTTCCTGTGCTTTGTCCTGCAGTGAGTCGTTAACAGTGAGTGAAACCTAATTTTCAACGAGGTTATCACCGAAAAAATCATTACGAGACCTCGGATATTCGTGCAGATTAATATTTCTACGAATTTCTACGATTAAACGAGTAGGTGTTAAGTATTATAGTTTGAATATTTTATACATTTTTCTATGTTACTTGAAAATTCGCAGTCTAATAATCATGGCTACGTCCTAATAACGAACAAACTTTCTACGAAATACGCCGATATTCGAAGAACAGCTGGCAATCTAGCTTTTCTGTTTGATCTTTGAGTTTCCAGCGGTATTACGAATTAATACGACTGAATAGAGCTGTTGACTCGCTTATGTTATGTCTAAAACAAATAAGATTAATATTACTATCTTTCGACGATCTTTGTTCCACGTTGAAGATCAGTGGTACCATCTGTGGTTCGCTACTTCTTCGTTAAGCTAATTAAATTTTATGCACCGATACGATATCTTAAATTCGTAGGTTATGTTTCGAAATTTTCGTCTCAAGCTGAATCGGTAGATTGTGCGTGGTTGCAAATACGTTTTCCTTCTACGTTCTTCCAAAAAATTGTCCGATTCTTAGCCAGGCTAAGCATCATTGATTAAAGAAGCCTTGTATTTTTCAGACCGCACAACATTTCCATTATCGTGGAATGCGATAGCGCGGCTCATTAATAACGAGGCCGCGATGACGGAGAAATCGTAAATCCATACAGGAGCTAGAGTCGGCCGAGTTCTTTTTCTTTTTCATTTTTTCTTTCTTTTCTTTTCGCAAGCTCACGCTAATAACCGAACGTGAGGATCAATCGACGTATACTATTTTGCACGTGCGTTATCGGCAAGTCGATAACGCGTTGACGGTTACACCAAGCCCTGATAAAGATACGACGTGACCCTGCGACCCCATGACGATTCCGTGGAACCGGACAAGACGAAGGAAAAGAGCCCTGGACGATCGCGAAAGTATAGACGGCAAACAACGACGAGGATGACCCTGAGAAATTCGTGTTGTAGGATCTCAACGACCGATGATATTTCTCTGCTCTTCTGTTTGCATAAAGTCACGAGTTTAACAGATACGAAATTGACGAAGATATACGACGTAAGATATCGTAACGATTCGTAACACTGTATAGATTCGTTGCTGGTTATGCGTATCCTATCGAATCCTTCCGAGAACCGTTTCGTCGTTTTTCTTTTATCTAATTAACGCGATGCGATCACGAGACACGCTCCTTCTCGTTCAGCCGGTCGTAAAAGTTAACGAGCAAGGTTTGCCACAATATCGCAACATAACTGATTGCTGAAGGTCTTTGTGCAAGAAGTTTGAGTAACGGCTTATTAGACGAATAAGCAGAATTTCCTTATATCTTTCGATTATTATCGATTGCGTTGAAATTCTCTCTAGGTCGAAGAAAAAATGTATCAGAGTTATTTTTTATACCTGAATGTGTCGTCCATCGACTTTCGCAAAAGTATACAGTACCGACACGGTAGACAATCACGTTATCGACTGGTGGTTTCCAAGTCGTCTTACTAAACGAAGGTATAGGTGGTGGTCGTTCGTACTCACTGTTGCTTCACCAGTGACGCGATCTTCGTTACCAACAGTGTTCTAACTTATCCGCCGTTGGGAAACGCAACGTCCGAAAGCAAACGCGTTCCCATATAGAATGGAACGTGCTGCTATAGTTTTCCGCCTACCGTATACGTCATTCCCGACATAGTGACAAGGAGTAGATACAATTTCCCTTGAAAATATCGCGATATTTCGCTGTTGAAAGTTTAGCGAACAAAAGCAATTTTCGAAATTTCATCGGTTATTACGTCGCGGTAGGTTTTTTCCACTGTAAAGAGCGGTGGTGGGAAAAAGGATTCGAAGAAACGGAGTGAAGGCTATCACGCGACAGGGCGTAGTAAGAGGAAGAGAGGCATAAAAGTCATTCAGTCCACTGTCCAACCATTGATAGAGGCGACGAAGCGAGGTCAGCTATTTGTACGCGTGACAGACCCCTCCAGAGAATCTCGCGTGCAGATGTGGATCGAGGTACACGAGCATACATATACGCATGTATGCACGCGTACATCACACGCATCGTCGATCAGCATGCGTTTTATCCAGGCTGCGAAAATTCTTTTCAAAATTACGTGACGTTACACCGACGCAAATCCTCGGATTAAAAAATCCCAGTAAACACATATTGTACAATCCTTTCTACGATCTCTTTTATAATTCGCGATAATGTATTTGTCTGCCTTTATGTCCGTTCCTTCCGCGAAAAAGCCATTCGATTTACGGCAAATGGCTGACTTTTCCATTCCATCGAGCAATAATCAAAATGACGCCGTGCAAACGCTCTTACGTAACTACACGTTACAGTCGAAAAATATTACAAGATCGTTTATGCACGTATACGCGCAACGAAGGAATCGGCACGCAGCTCTTTTGTTCGATCATTATCAACGCATCATCGAAATCACGTACTTACGTAGTAGAAAACTTTTTCCATGCAGGAGTGGCGCGGGGAACACCTTGACAAGGCTGCCACTCTTGGAATTCGTTTCTCCCTCGGCATTCCGACGAAGTGCGTAATTGAACGAGCGAAACAGCGCATCGCGGTGAATAAGCGTGCACAATGAGCGAGACGGAGAACCGAAGAGCAACTAGTCGAGAGGAATATTACGCGGGATGAAACGAGTGAAAAGGAGTGTCGAGAAAAGCAGGAACGATTATGTGTGCGATACGAAAGGAGGGCAAATTCGAAGCGTTGCGAACGAGGATCGCTTTAGCACGGCATACAGGAGGTTCCGGTATCGACGGTACAATCGGCGAGAAGGTGATCCTACGTGAAAAAAAGAACAAATCAAAAATATACAGGTAATTGGTTGGTAATTGGTGGTACAAGCGGAAAGGGGGTGATTCTACGCGAAAAAAGAAGTCGAAAATATAGAATAAAAATTTTTTTTTTTAATTTTTCCATCGAGACAACGATCTACGGTGAGATTCGTTATAACGAGACGCGATAAAGTGCACGCGTACCGAGCCAAAATTCAAAGTCGATTTTCTCGAAAACAAAGCCTCGAACGAAAAATTTGTATTCCATATTTTCGACTTCTTTTTTCGCCTAGAATCACTCCCTTTGCGCTTGTACCACCAGTTACCAAGCACCCTGTAGAATAAGATTTTATCCGAGCGATCACGCTATCGAGACTTTGCTTCGTATTCGACAAAAATCGTATTTGAAGATTCGTCAAAAGCATCGAAACTTGGCTAATTCCGGTCTGGATGAAAGCGAAGAATCGACAAGAATCTGTTCTACGTATGAAAATAAGTAAAAAATGTAGACAATAAATACTTTTCGTAGGATGTTTCGTTTACGAGAAAATGAAACTCGAAACTTGATCGAACACGCGTGAGCCAACCCAATTCTTAATCAAACGCGGTGAAAATTCTACTTTCTTTAAAACCAGGCTTTGAAAGTCAGTTTTCTCGAAAATCGAGTCTCAAATGATTTCCAAGCCCGAAATAAAAAAAGAAAAAAAAAATGTATTCTATATTTTCGATCTATTTTTTAAATACGGAACCAGCCCCTCCTCGATTCTACCATCGATACTGGAACACCCTGTGTATAGCTTTCTAGTCGGGCTTACAAGGTCGACCGTTCACCGTTCCACGAAATTCGCGACACGTTCTAACGTAGCGACGGTATTGGTGAGGAATGGCAGCTCGTTCCGTGGCACAGGAAGCTCGTCATGGAATCGAGCGTTAAATACGTTCGGTACGCCGATCGAAGTAGTTGGCTATCGAGAGAGGCAAGGAAGGAGAAAGAGGGCCACGAGACGAAACGTCGGCAGAGGTTGCTGAACTTTCTACGAACGATTAGCGCGCGCGCACGATGGCATCGTTCGCATCGGTAGTTTAGCCAGAAAACGGAGCTTCGGGGGCATATTGTCACGTAACGTGAGCGCGTGGAAGTCGAACAGCATTCCCTTCGCGTGGTCGTTGCTCCTACTTTCGCGGATTCATCATGGTACCGCTTTCAAGTTCACTGATCGTCCGAAACTTTCGACGCGTGATCCTGCGTCTATTAAGCTGCGTCCTCACCGAGCCAACCAACGACCAACAACTTTTTCTCGCCTGCTGTTGCTGCATGTTCCAAACGGTAGGTAGCCAACTCTCAGAAGCCTGCGATCAACTCCGTCATTTTCTAACTTTCTCAGTTTCATCATCTGCAAACGTGATTATATGGTATTAAACTTCTCGAAGAGACAAATTATTTACAAACTATCTTTATAAACTTATTTATCGTAAAAAAAAAAGAAAATAACATAAATAAGGATAAATTCCAGTTCGGTACACGCTTTCTTTTCTTTTAAATTATGGAGTTAATCGATGTAGCTTGCGAGCCGCTCAAATACCAATTTATACGGACGTATTGTTCACCGTCGAAACGGTATAATCAGAGGAACACGTCGAAGCGATATTTGTTTTTAGTATTGTAGCAGGTTGTCTACGCGCGAATGTGTTGTGAAACAGCGGAGAAACTGTACGTACCGAAGGAACGTTTGTTTCTTTATTTTCCTTTGATCTTCGTCGAAACAGGCAACAGGTAGTAACCCTTTTGTTATGGACTACGGAAACGCGAAGAAACAAAGAAGATGGGGCAACGATCGGGCAACTTCTTCAACAAGTATGGCATATGGACGAGTTAGTTATTCGTTGCTGCTTCAGCGAGCAAACAGCTTGAGAAAATACGAAGAGACAACGCGCGATAAACAATCATTTTTTCAAAAAACATGGGACATGGACCGAAGGTTCCTCGTTGTCGAGGACTTTAGACATAGCCATCCTATGGATCATCGACGACTCCTTTCCCTTTATGCTTTCTCTTCGCTTCTCGTCGGACGTTGCAGCCGATGAAAGACGAAACGTGGATGGATGGGAAAGCATCGTGGAAAAGATGGACAACGTCGTAGCAGATAGAGGACCGCGTGGGCCGTGCGATTCCGCGACACTCGGGTACGTGGATCGCGTCATCCTTCTATTCTCGGATCGTCTAATTGTTCTAATTAAGAGGATTGCAGCTCTGGAATAACTCGACGAGTTTATATTTGTCCATGGACGCAGATGCGAGGGAAACGTGTTAACGGGTTGAGGAACGAGGAGTAGCAACGGCAGAGACCATCGAAATGAAACCGTTGCCGAGACGAAGATGGACGACGCGATGTTCTACCTTTGATCGTTTACGCTTTACATCTCCCGGCACCGACCTCCTTTTGCGAAGTTGGTTGAAAAGCCGTGGACTACGTTTAGACCGGAGATCTTTCTCGAGTGCTCTCGGGACTCTGATCCGGTTGGCAACTGGAGAGAAAACGAGGGAGGAAGAGCGAAAAAGAGGGAAGAGAAGGAAGAGCAGCGAAGAAAGAGGATGAAACGATAAAGTCGAGAAGACGAAGTTGAATCGAAGAGGTAGGAGACTAAGGGAAGCAGCGAGTCAACGAAGTAGGCATTTACGAAAATGTAGGACGCAAGCGTAACTCTTCGAATACAGTAGTCCTGCACTTATCGGAACTCGTAGAGGTACAAACATGTACAATCGAAGTCCATATAATAGAAACTCGCCAATTTCTCCCACTGTCCACTATGCTTTGTTCGTATAATAAAAGTTCGCGTTCGGATAAGTGAATCGAACCGGCAAAAGTTAATCGAAAATCGATTTCGTTCGAATAAATGCAGTCCTAATGGGTGACGATTCGACTGGGCTACGATTTGTCTATAGACGATCGCTCTGAAATTCTCAAATAACAAAATCGGTATCGATCGGGCTGTGAATAAGAAAGTGAGAAGAAGCGATAGATAGCGGCAGGTAGGTAACGGTGGATGCAATTTTTATCGAACAGATAGGCGAGATGTGCGTAAAGACGAGGCAGACGGAGCGACAGAGCGACGAATGAAAGAGCGGGCAAAGAAACTAACGCGAACAGAGACGAAAACGGAGAGAAAGACGAGGACGAAGATGAAAAGGAAAATGAAAATGAAGAACGAACGACTGACGAGGACTCCTCTGGTGAAGAAGTAGGAGGAAGAGTAGAAGGAGAAGGAGAACGACCACCTATACAAGGACCTACGCGGCCAGTGGGAATGGAATGCAGGTACGAGTCCAGTCGGCGACTTTACTCTTGCCTCCTCACCTCCTGATCAGCCTCCTTCACCTTTTCGTTCTTTTCTTCTTCCTCCTCTTCTCTTCTTTCTTCTCTTTTCTCCTCTCTTCTCGATGCCTCTACTAGGGAGCAGACCCGTTGCTCACCGAATCACCGTCGTGTTCCACCTACCGGCTTCACCACCTACTACTACTCTGCAGCTCGTACCACTTCTACCATTCTATACCGCTACTACTAATAATGATATCACCGCCGCTATTGTCACTGTCATCTGCCTCGATGCGGTCTTTTGCATCTACTCACAAACTAGTTATTAATTCTCATGTTACAATCATTTCGGATCGCGATCCTTTGTCGACCAAGTATCGTAGTTTTTCTATTATGCTATATCGCACTATATACGCGTAAATATAATGTACGACCACTGTATGCAATCGCGATAGTCGAGTCTCGTTACAGCGCTAACGATACTTTTTAGCGTTTCGTATGAAACTCGTAATATATTCGTTGCTGATTGTCGCGTCAATTTTAGAAAAATTCGTTGGGTGTTTGGCAGAATTTGCGAAATCGATGGCAAAAAGAAATATATAGACGGAATGTGGGAATAGAAAACGGCGGAGTTTTTCTTTTTTACAAGGAAAGCGTGAAACTGACGCGTGAAAGCGGGACGACGATAATTCGAGATCGAATTTGGCGATTAGGGTCGATCACCCAGCAGCGGTGGCGGTGGAAAGGGTCTGCAAGTGGAATGCGGTCGACGCGAGGCCCTGCCGTGGGAGACAGCCGAACGACTACACTGACTTACTAGTACATACATCCGGATTCGTTGTTGACCATGCGATTCGTTGATTTATCAACCTAAACGACTCTTCTATTCTCAGCTAACCAACTCTGTTCCTTGTTAATTTCCTCGTTTCATCGCCTAAATACACGATTGATATTCAATTCTCAAGAAAGTAAATGGCTTACTCGTACAAGTTCGTTTATCGCGAGAAAATGACACGAATTATTATTCGTAAATTCTAAGGTAAATGTAAAAGACTTCTAAACGACTCTGCTATTAACTTGCTCGTATTCCTCTTCGATTCTATGTCGAATCGAGCCTCGTGTCGAATTACGAGAAGGCATTCCGGTATGATCGCTCGAAGATGGATTCGTCGTCGATATCCTCGACTGTAGTGGAAGTACGCCACGGGTATCATCGTGCGAACGACGCACGGAATACCAAACGAACACGGCGGAGAAACGATAGGAAACTTCGGTTGGCCGCGGTTAGCACGGTTGCTCGACTTTGCTATTCTCTTGTTACTATTCGCTCTGCTGGACTTTGTCTCGGTCTATAGAATCTACGCGAATAGGCGAGGAACGTTAAGGATCTCGATCTCGATCGAATATCGAGAAATACCGATGCTTCCGCCGTTCAAGGTGGCAAGACGAGCGGTCATCGTTTCAAGGTTACGAATACCGATGTCCGTCGCCATTATAATATGATAATTCGCATCGATGATTCTTCGATGAATAATGGAGGACTAGTGGCGTCGTGTGCGTTATGTCATTGTCAATCTCGGCGCGTTACGATACACAGGAACCGCTTCATAATAGATCAGCCACGATTCGCGTCCCCCGACGTTTCCTCGTTTCGTTTTCGCGTCCGATTTATCGCCGTTACCTTGAATCCCAAATCAATCCGCTGTCCTGGATCGTTTTTCGCGTTCGATCGGAAAGAAAGAAGATCGTTGCTCTGTTTTCAACGGATTCTGCGCGTGATTTAGAATCTCGCGGTTTTGCGAGTCAATTGCGATCGAGCTGGATAGCGTTCTTCCGATTTTTGCGCGCGTTTCTTTGCGGTTCTTGTTGAAAGGCAAATATTTTCTCGCGAAATAGTTCTCGTGGTCGATCGTGTTCAACGAAGCTTGTTCCTTGCAAACACGAATTTCCAGCAGGAATTCTCGATAGTTCGTACGGGCCATTGAATTTGGATCGAGGACGAATGCGCAGGAATTGGAACAGTCACAGCAGGCATTTAGGTATTTTCGAGGTATTTTCCAGGCTGTCGATTCTAGACGCGCGATCACAACATTCTTGCACAATTGTCAAATACCCATGCGCGATAGTGACAAGTTTGGAAATCAATCGGCAATGATAAATAACGAGACTTATAAGTATTGTGCTAATATTGTATTGATAAATTTCGTACAAGAAGATGCAGACGTCGTGTCGTTCTTTAACCAAAAATCTCTATGATCGAACGTTTGAAAATGAACGGTGAATGTAAATGAAATTCAGATAAATATCAGAGAGAAGTGAAGGAACGAGAACGAATTCGATGATAAGTGTTGGCGAACGAAAAGCAGACCAACGGATGGTCAATTGCAGGTGCGACGCAGTCCTTGCGAGTTCCACGCTTTTCTATATCTATACGCGTATACGTCCATGTGCATAGAAACGTGCACGCGTATACGTAGAACGGCCATAGTCTCAGCGTGGGACCAAAGCGACTCAAAAAGTCGCACGCCGTGCAGAGGCTCTCAGGCAACGAACGCGGCGAACTTGAATGCGGCTC